AGCTTCCCCTTCTTCTCTTCTGTTTCTGGGTCTGCTCGGTTCTGCTCGATCTCCGCTAGCAGAGCTCTAGCAATGTCCAATACTTCTTGTAGCTGCTTGGGTTTCTTTAACTTGATGTGTCCATCTTTGTAGCCATCATATTTGGCAAAGAGTTCGAAAAACCTGCATTCAGAAGAAGGAAATCTAGGTGTAAGACAAAAAACAAGGACTGTAAACCTAAACTGTGCAACTTCTAAACTAATATGCAAATATCCATGCTTATATTTCTATCTACAATTAAACCTGTGCCTATCTATCTAACAATATACCTCTGTTTACAACTTTGTCTGTCTGTCTGTCTGTAAATTTCTTGTATTCTAACCATCTAAATGAAATAAAATAAAAGCAAAAAAACATTGTCCATATCTTAAGTTTAAAACAATTCAATCAATAAAACACTTGTAAAAATAAAGTTACAAAAAGAGGGATCACAATTGCACAAACAGCATGGCATCCATACTTACTTAGGGTGTCTCACTTCCATTTTCATCTTCTGTTTGGGTGTTCTGTCACCATGTCTGATCACAGCCACCACACACCTGAGCTCCATCCTGGGATTGAAGAGAATTTATATAGTGTATAAAAAACTATCATGAAAAGCCAGGACCTCTAACTATGCCCTAAAAAGAACAAGAAAAGAAAAACAATAATTTATCTTATCATAGAACCATAACACAAAAAGTAACTTACATTTTCCCAAAGGTTGTTGGCACTATTGGTGGATCATCTAGTTGGAAGGGAATAGCCCAAGGTATGTGGAATGTTGGTGCCAACTCCCTGAGCACCATGTTGCCCAGGATTTTGGCACAATCATCATAGTACTTGCTAGAATTCTTGACAAAGCTGAACCCATTCACATCGCAAACATATGATTTGCCATTTGCTCTGCATGAAAATAAAGAGAAAATGGGATGAGTTAGTATATTTGGTCATTATCATTTATCATCGTTGGGGAGCTAATGCCACATTCACCTTTTGTTTCCACCAACAAGGATCCTTCATGGCATGCCGCCAGGCAGGGACTCAGCCCATCTCTAGCACCTCTCGACAGATCTGATCAATCCCCCTAGATTGTCCCACAGGCCTCCTCCACCCAGGGTTGTCTCAAACAAACACAACCTGGTGGGCAGGTCCATCCCATGAGAAACAAGCCAGGTGCTTGTATAGCCTGAGTTGGCTGTCCCAGATGGTGCAAGTAGCGGGTCCTGGACTAGTCTCACGGTGTAACGGCTGATTGGACACATAGTCCCGCCAACTGTACCCCATGATCTGGCACAAGAACCTGTTACAAAAGACATTAAGTGATTCCAAGGCACAGAAGTGTCCAGGTTTCGTTACTGTATAGTAAAACTGGCAGTATCAAGTCCTTGAGGATGTGCAGCTTGATCTTCCTGCACAGGTACTGGCATCTTCAAATATTCTTGTCAAGAAAGTTCATGACCCTTGCAGCCAGGCTAATCCATCTACTGCCTTCCTTGTCTGGCAGCCCATGAATTACACTACTCTCTGTGACTTCAATGTCCTCGCCACAAGCACATAACTGAAAAGGTTTTCCTAGAAGGCTCCTAAAGTCTTAGTCTTGGTCCAGACCTAGACCAGGGGCTTCGCTTCATTACTAAATGCATCTAGAGCCACCACTAAGCTTTCCAGGGACTCTGATAGAATAGCAACATCATCAGCAAAGTCAAGGTTGGTAACCTTAATATTGCCCAGAGTTGCTTCTCAATTACTTCGGATAGTAGCTCTGCCCAGTATCCAGTCCATGCAAGTGTTGAAGAGTGTTTGTGCAAGAACAGTCTTGTCTCACTCCTGAAATAAAGGTTCACCACAGTTCTGGGAGGGTTCAGCTATGCCACAGATACCTATTGCTTTACCAATCTTCAGCTTGGAGATCAACCCCCTAAATTAAGTTTGAGAAAGTAGATCCTCACTGATAGATGGATCCAGCAAAGGGATCTTGACACTCCCCACATCAAAGTTAACTGTTGGTGGCTTAACCTGGTACATCTGCACAAAATACTCAGCCCAATCCTCCTGCATCCCAACAGGATCTGAGATGACCAGGCCACTTACTGAGTGGACAGCTGGAGCCTGTGTGGAGGACTTTTTCAAGGCTTTGTAGCCAGGATGAAGGTCATTTATTGAGAAATGGTCTTTGACCTCTACAAGATTCCTGATAAACTGTTTCTTGTTCTTTCTCCAAGTCCTGCGCACCAGAGAATGAGGCAAGTCATGATCCTCTGTAGGATGAGCTGTGCGACAAACATCTGGGGCTTCCAGTGTCTCCAGTGAGATGAAATTCGGTCTTGCTCTTGGGTGGTCACCAATCAATTCTTGAGCTGAATTGAGCATTTCACACTTGTAGATGTCACACAGAAGTAGAGGGTCCACAAGGTTGCCGAGTGCTACGAAACAATCAGATACAGCCTCAGCAAACCCCCAGGCATGTTCCCCCTTCCTT